TTTATGACCAATTCATTTAAAACTCCACATAATCCCAAGGGGTTCACATACTTTTTCTTGCAACTGTATATTTGTGAATGTGTATGGAAAGAAAAAAATAAAACTTTTTTTTAAAAGTAGATCAGCTCATGCCTAGGAACAGACAGAGGGCTTGAAGGATGACTTTCTGCAGCAGAATGAGGGCTATCACTCTTGCAGGCAGGGAAGAGAGAACAATCCACTGGTTTAGTCCCTGACATTTATCAGCTGGTTCCACTAGGTGCCGTTGTCAGGACTGCAATACTGCTTCACCTTTCTAAGCACGATTCCTACCAAGACCTGGCAGGGGCTGAAGAGACTCTCTCTTCTAAAACACGTAGCAACTAGATTGATTAAATAGTAGTCCTGTGTAAATTGTAGGAAGATGCTTTAGAAAAGTAAAAAACAATAGTTCAGTTTGGAGGCGTTGCAGATGACTCTTCTATCAGCTGGCATTGCTGTGAAATCTAACCTTCAGTGTAACAATGGAATGCTGCATTCACAAGATAAGCTAGTGTTTGGACAAGCAACACTAAATTAATCTCAATGTAGTTTTACTGTCTTAATTTACTCTTTCTCAACTGGCAAAAAAATGAGAACCGAACTGAATCTTAGCATGTGGCTTGGATCATTTTGTAAAAGATCAGCATCCTGGTCCCTGTTTATGTTTTTACTACACTTTTCAGAATACATATAGTTAGGATTCTTGGATATAAGATTTCAGAACATATGGAAGACACTAAGTTGGGTACTACCTGTTGGGGAAATGGTTCCATGTTTCTTTCATGACTTACTTGAGTGAGAGAGAGAAGGACCTTAGATAGGAAATACAGAATGAAGAGCCTGTGATTCAATTCTATCTTGTTCTGACCTAGGCTTCCCCAAAAAGTACGGAGCAGATGCCTGGTCCCGACAAAACCCCTTTTATTAAACAAATGTGAATTCCTCTCATTCACAATCAGCAAAAGCCTGGTAAACAGTCTTTCAAAGATGAATTTATGACCACAAACCTTATCTAGGTTGGAAAGCTGCCATGTAAATATTTTCCAAATGCAGTGCTGTGCAAGGAAATACTTTGCACAGAGTCTCTGAGATTCACAGCAGATATTTACAGTCCTGAAATAAATGAATGAACGAAGAACGAATGAACT